ATAAATTAATTAAAGCAACAAAACAACCTGAAGAGCCGGTTCGGAGCCGAAAGAGCCGGCTCTTTTTAGTGAGCCGAGCCGAAAGAGCCGGATCTCTAAAAAGAGCCAGAAATCCCATCACTAGTGATGTGTGAGTGTCTATGAGCATGTGATGTGATCAGTGATATGTGTATGTGTGATCAGTGATATGTGTATGCATGTATGTAGGAAATTGAGGTGAGCATTCATGCTAAAAATCTAATCACTCTGTTAAAGATCTAATCATCTTTTTAAAGATCTAATTATCTAGCACAATGACAATCATAGCGATTCACAATTCTCTAACACTGACCATTGTAAAACTGAAAATACAAAATATTGTATTAGTTGACTAACAATGCAAACAAGCTTGTTACACTCTTACTGAAAGCTAACAAGATAAAACTTTCATACTCGCTTAAACGAGTTTGAATTGTCATGTCAGTTTTGAAGCCAAACACAGACACTATCGTTCTATCATTATCCATACTGTAGTGGACTGGGATACAAGTTAGTTTGACTGTTGTGTTATCAATGTTTTGTGTCCAGAATTGCCACTCACTTACGGGATAGTTGCGCCACACCAGCAGCAATGGGATCAAGTGAGTGTCCTTGAATGTGTAATAGTTCAGAGGCTGTTTGGCCTGCCAATCAGATATGTATGGAATCAGAACGATGCCACCTTGAAACGAAACCGAAAAAAATATTGAAACCGAAAAAAAATATTGTAACTGAAATAAATGTACTGAAAAATCTTGTATTGAAACCGAAAAAAAAATTGATAGTGAAAAACAATTAATTGAAACTGTAATTTTTTTGTTTTCGCTTACATTTTTTTTTTTTCGGTTTCAATCCATTTTTCGGTTTCAATCCATTTTTTTCGGTTTCAAACCATTTTTCAGTTTCAATCCATTTTTCGGTTTCAATCCATTTTTCGGTTTCAAACCATTTTTCAGTTTCAATCTGCTGGCACTGTTTTGGCGTCCGGGGGCGCGCTGGGGGGGCGGGGTTTCCGGCCCGCATGTATTTGCATACATTATAGAGGCCACTAGTGCTGACCAAGCTGCCATCTTTCTCTCTTCCCGACTTTCAATGACTGCTTCAATTTCAGCTTGAACCTCCAAACCGCAAGTAAGTAATCATTTTTTGTCATCTTTTCTTGCTGTCCCACTGGGCTAGACATTAGTTTCGTTTTTTTTAGCTACATCTGGTGAAGTTGTGGTAAAATGCTGGTATTAGCCTATTCGTCGTAGCAAGCTAGCCTGAAGCTAATATTTGCTAAATTTAGGGACACCCGTGTCTCTTCAGGAGTTGGAGGCCGATGTTCTAGGAGCGGATCTCAGGATCTCAACAGGCAGTGTTGGGCAGTAACATAATACATGCACCGGCGTTACGTATTTAAAATACAAAATATGATGTATCCGTTACAGTTACTGTTCAATAGGTGATATTGAGAATACAGTTAGTTTGTTGAAATAAATGGATTACATGGCGGTATTTTCCTGTTTCATATGTTAGGCTATGGTCTCTCTATTTTTGGTAATTCCACACCGGTGGAAACCCAAACAAAACACGCAATAAGAGCCTCTAAAAATTATTATACAAAAATTATTTAATATGAAGGCAATAGCAGAGTGTTACAGGCATCGCCCTAAACAATGTAGCCTCATGGGCAGTGTAGTCCGTGCTGCAGGGAGAATGGACTGCCATACCCGTTATGTGTCTGTGAGCGAGGGAGGGAGAAAAAGGAAAAGTAGGAGCTGTCACTGAGCAGAAACGGGAGCTGGAAGCATGTAAATATAATAATAACCACTGCAGCCAAAAAGAGTGCCTGACGAGCCCAGCTGTAAGTAAGCTGTTAAGACTCGACTGTACACCGTGTTCGTGTTTTCCTCTGAAACAATAAGCAGCCTTTCAACGCCTCTCTCTGTCTCTCGCTAGCAAACTTGACCCAGACAACAAAGTAAAGCTAGTTTTCAGCTACGAGCCCGACACGAACCGGACGTATTATCCAGAGGTCCCTTTACTACGGTTCGGAGCCACTGACCTGTTTTATATACGCGCTGAATAGTTTTCTACACGAGATCGCTGCAAAAAGTGCAGCCTTACCTAATGTCCACCTACTGTTACTCATTTATATTAAGATTTTAACATCTAGTTGGTATTGGTATGGCGAGTAGCCTTCAGTAATAGTAATAAATCACACAGCAATAGTACATTCATGTAGTTTTAAAGTATTCAGAATACATTACTTCTATAATCTTTGGTGGAATACATTTTAAAATTAACCTTCCCAACACTGTCAACAGGTTAGCACCTCATACCACAGTGCAGCAAAGCAGTCTCATGAGCGCTGGAAAGGACAAGCCCAGAGCCCAAAACAGACAGTGCAGGAGATGACAAGGTTAGTAATTGTATGGTGAAAATTATACTTTATCTTGATTGGCAAAAGAAAAGTAAATACAAAATCTGCTTTTTGTAGATTTTGAAAGTCCTCATCAAGATAAACGCACAGATTTAAGAGTCAAAAAATGTCACAAACTCTGTATCGTTACCTGAGAGCTTCAAGTTTACAGTGTGGGCTCTTAAGTCCAACACACAGCAACTCCAAACCAGAATCCTGGATTTCGTTTAAACTCAGGTCCAACTCTCTCAGATGATTGGATGGGGAGCTGAGAATTTCAGACAAACCTTCACAGCTTCTTCTTGTGAGTGTACAATAACTCACACTGAGGAATAATAACAATTGAGACATATTCTTTTATTCATCTAGCAGTATTAAACATGTTTAAAAAGGTTCATAGAGTCACTTACAGCACTTTCCTGGAGGCCTTGACCACTGGCAGAAGCATAAGAAAAGCCTCCTCTGAATGGGAGTATTTTTTCAGATCGAACACATCCAGATCCTTTTCCGATGACAGTAAGACAAAGACCAGAGCTGACCACTGAACAGGAGACATTTTAACTGTGGAGAGACGTCCTGTTCTCAGGGACTGTTGGATCTCCTCCACTAGAGAACGATCATTCAGTTCATTCAGACAGTGGAACAGATTGATGCTTTTCTCTGCAGACAGATTCTTACTGATCTTCTCCTTGATGTACAGGACTGTTTCCTGATTTGTCTGTGAGCTACTTCCTCTCTGCGTCAGCAGACCTTGTAGGAGAGTCTGATTGGTCTGCAGTGAAAGACCCAGGAGGAAGCGGAGGAACAAGTCCAGGTGTCCATTTGGACTCTCTAAGGCCTTGTCCACAGCACTCTGATAGAAATGTGTCTCTGTGGATTTGTTTCTGAGAAAATCAAAAATCGATATTAAAGTTCTCAAAAAAACATTTAAAGAAGTTTTGTCCAGCAGATTGACTCCAGAGTTTATGAAGGTCAGATAGACATGAAGAGCAGCAAAGAACTCCTGAATGCTCAAATGGACAAATGAGTAGACCCTTTCTGAAATCATCTCACATGCATCTGCTTCAAAGATCTGTGTGAAAACTCCTGAGTACACTGCTGCTGCTCTGATATCGATGTCACACTCTGTCAGGTCTGATTCATAGAAGATCACGCTTCCTTTCTCCAGCTGATCAAAAGCCACTTTTCCAAGAGACTCAATCATCTTCCTGCTCTCTGGACTGCAGTGTGGATCTGTCTCAGCTCCTCTATCATGCTTGATATCCATTGTTTTTACATTAAAGAGCACAAGGCGTAGGAACAGCTCTGTTAGAGTTTTAGGCAGATCCCCACTGTCACTCGTTTCCAGCTCATGCTCCAGAACTGTAGCAGTGATCCAGCAGAAGACTGGGATGTGGCACATGATGTGGAGGCTTCGTGATGGCTTGATGTAAGAGATGATCCTGCTGGCCTGCTCCTCATCTCTGAATCTCTTCCTGAAGTACTCCTCCTTCTGTGGGTCAGTGAACCCTCTGACCTCTGTCACCCTGCCAACACAGTCAGGAGGGATTTGATTGGCTGCTGCAGGTCGTGTGGTTATCCAGAGCCGAGCAGGTGGAAGCAGGTTGCCCCTGATGAGGTTTATCAGCAGCACATCTACTGAGGTGGACTCTTTAACATCGGTCAGGGTCTCGATGTTGTGGAAGTCCAGAGGAGGTTGATACTCATCCAGACCATCAAAGATGAACACAACCTGGAAGTCTTCAAAGCTGCAGATTCCTGCTTCTTTGGTTTCAGTAAAGAAGTGATGAACAAGTTCCACCAAGCTGAACTCTTCCTCTTTCAGCACATTGAGCTCTCTGAAAGTGAATGGAAATATGAACTGGATGTCCTGGTTGGTTTTGTCTTCAGCCCAATCCAGAATGAACTTCTGTGTTAGGACTGTTTTCCCAATGCCAGCCACTCCCATTGTCACAACTGTTCTGATTGGTTCATCTCTTCCAGGTGAGGCTTTAAAGATGTCTTCTTGTCTAATTGTTGTTTTTAGTCTGTCTGGTTTCCTGGATGCTGTTTCAATCTGTCTGACCTCATGTTCATCATTGACCTCTGCAGTCCCTCCCTCTGTGATGTAGAGCTCTGTGTAGATCTCATTCAGAAGGCTTGGGTTTCCTACTGTACCGATTCCCTCAAATACACACTGGAACTTCAGCTTCAGATTTGACTTGAGTTTGAGTTGAGATTGAGCCGAAACAATGAAAATCTCTGCATAAATGATCATGAAATGACACAAATAAGAAAACTGCATTCTGATTGCTGTGGTTATGTGTTCAGTTCATTTGATTCTTAGATTATAACAGAGTATATGTAGAATAAAGGAAAATTAATGAAAGAATGTATGAAATAAATAATTGATTATTTTTCAAAATTTGGATTATTTCTCCAAAGAAATACAACAGCAACCTTAAGTTACTACTACTACTACTGCACATTCACCCAATGTATATATATATATATATATATATATATATACATAATGTTCTTCCTCTACCCCCCCCACCCATTTTTGCACATGTCGAGGAGTGTGTCAGGCTACATTTCACTGTGTGTTATACTTGTATAACTATGCATGTGACAAATAAAGAACCTTGAACCTTGAACCTTGAAGTTGCTTTTTATTGCAAGGCAAAGACTAGGGATGTAAATCATAAACTGGTTCTTGGAATCACTAGCCTGCCTACTAATTGATCCCACTTATCAATTCTTGCACTCTTGCTGCGATCAGCTGATTTCAGTTCATGTGCTGGAGGAAAACAGTAGAGGAGTCTCCAGAGTGGATATGGACTTTCTTTTTTTCTTTTTTTGCAGAATTTGTTTCCCCTGCATTGGGAGCTGTGTTCTCTAAATCACAGACAAACAGAATTCCACATTCTTGATTTTTAGTTCACATAAACTTATTATGAAATTTTGGCGTAGGTAGCTCTTTATACAGTAAAGTTACTGTGGAATACGATTAATATCAGGCTAATCCTGCCACTATTTGTTCTCTCGGTTCAAATCACGGACAAACAGTATCCCACACTTGTTTATGTTTATAAACCCATTTTGCACAGAGAGACATTCTTTGAAAAATGTACTAATAGCAATGTTGAGTATTATTATTACGTGGGAGAAAAAAACAACAACAACGTAATTACAACATAAAGATGGTTTGTTTTTCTGTTATTTAAAGCTACGTCCACACATACATGGGTATTTTTGATAATGGAAATTTTCCATTTTTGTCTAAAAATAAATCCCATCCACACATGCAGTTTTGAAAAAAATATCTCTGTCCACATGTAAACCGAAGTCAGACACTGTCAAGAACAGTGATCAAAATTGCTGTTTAATAAAAGGCCCAAATGCATAGAAAAGCTGTATTTTCTAACCAAAGACCAAGACAGAGTTTTTATTAATTTGAAAGCCTGATGCTTAGCCTTGTCCACCCTAGCTGGAAAACTCAAATTTTATTTCCTATCTTTTCTATTTCCACCCTAATTGGAAAACTGACAATTTTATTTGTTGTTTTCTATATTACACCTGGTTCTTACTCAGAGTGCCTATCAAAATAATTTGATAGAAAAAAATCCATCCATCCATCCATTAATCTTTCGCTCATCTGGGGCCGGATCACGGGGCCAGCAGCCTAATCAGAGAAGTCCAGACCTTCCTCTCCCCCTACCTCCAGCTTATTGGGGGGAACACCAAGAATCTGAGAGCTCACCTTGCTTAGCAGGTGGATCAAATGACAAGGACAGATGCAGCTCAGACGAGAGCATGGGATCCATGATCTGGAGATATCTGATCATTTTCCTGCTGGCTTCGTCTCCTTTTTTCTTCACCTTGCTAGTCAAGTCACGAGCCTTATTTGCTCTGGCTTTGTTTTCCTCAAGTATTGATTCTTTCTCCAAATCAGTGAAGACACCATCGCTTACCAGAGCATCAAGGAGCTGTTTAAGGATTTCTACTGATACCCTTTCCACAAATTCAGTACGAATCCTGTCAAGCTCCTTCACTATGGGAAAAAGTAAGAGACAAAATGAATAATAATAATAATAATAATAATAATAATAATAATAATAATAATAATAAAAGAAGACATATTTAAACAATATATGAGACACTAACAGAGAAACAGAGGATCACAAACCCTGTGTATGTTTCTGGGAGTGAACACATTGAAACACAAAAAAACTTCTCTTGTGATATAATTACAGTTAAAATGCATGCTGTGGTGTGGTATGCAGTTAAAATTGTTACTGGATGTAACTCCAGCTGTATGCTTGAATGTGAACTGTGTAACCTGGTTCAAACCCCCCACCTTCTTTGAATCCAACAGTGGTATCAAACATTTGTGCTACATTTGTGCTGGTTTTTGCTGCTAAAATTGTCCTTTTGTGCTGCTTCCATTTTAAAGATATTATTGAAAATATAAAGGTCAAAAGTTCACGAAATTGATGTCAAACGTTTGGGCTACATTTGTGCTAGTTTGTGCTGCAACTTTTCTTGTTTGTGCTGCTATGATTTAAAACATATTAATAAAATAATGTCTTTCTGTGTGCTTAATCATCCAGGTAAGTAAATCCAAAAAGGTTGATTCTGTTCATCTGGACGTAGCGTTTTCAGTGGGAGAAACTTTTCGTCACTCATCCACGTAACTTCTTCAGTCTCAGCTGACTGCAGGTTTCCGTGACTGAAACTTTAAAGTAAATTAAATTATTAAATTAAACTAGCGCCACTGAATGAACAATGGGCTTGGTGGTCAGTTCCATGATTGTTAATATGCAAATTCTTATGACCATTGATCATATTACTACTAATCAAAGCCTACTGATGAAAGGCCATGAGTACCATTCACAGACAGTTGGGGAATGGCTGCAATCACAGCATTGTAAGATGGCAAAAGATGTACCCTTGGGCCTCTCTTCTCAATTCAGAGATGGTCAACATCCTGACAGCCTGATGGACGAAGCTGTCTCTCAGTCTGCTGGTTCTGGCCTGGAGGGTCTCCAGTATCCTTCCTGATGGCAGTAAACTGAAGAAGGTGTTGAAGGGATGAGTGGGGTCACCTGTAATGCAGAGGACCTTCCGGATGAGGCAGGTGCAGTAGATGTCCTGGGGAGGGAGGGAAGAGAGGTCCACGCAATCCTCTCCACTGCTCTCACTACCTCTTGTCATTTTTTCCTGCAGGACCCAGTGCAGGAGCCACAGTGATGCAGCTGGTTAGGATACTCTCAACGGTGCCTCTGTAGAAGGTGCTCCTAATGGGGGTTGAATCTCTTGCACTTCTCAGTATGCCGGGGAAGTACATTCGCTGTTGGTCTTCTCCACATTCAGGGACAGGTTGTTGTTGCTGCACCACTCTGCCAGATGGTTAACTTCACCCCTGTAGTAGATCTCATCATTGTTGCTGATGTGACCTACCACTGTTGTTTCATCTGCAAACCTGATGAAAAGGTTGGAGCTGTGTGATGGTGTGCAGTCGTGGGTCAGCAGAGTGAAGAGAAGGGGGCTCAACATACATCCTTGGAGAGCCTTCGTATTGAGTGTTCTTGGGCTGGAGGTGTTGCTGCTGACCCCTTACTGTCTGCTATCTTCCTGTCAGGAAATCAAGCAGCCAGTTACACAACAAAGTGCTGATCCCCAGCAGATCCAATTTGTGAATGAGTTTCTGGGGAATGATGGTTTTGAATGCTGAGCTTGAGTCTATGAACAGCATTCTATTGTATGAGTCTCTAGTGTCTAGATGTGTGAAGCGCAGTTGAAATTGCATCATTGTTTGAGTGTTTTGACTGGTATGCGAACTCAAATGAATCCAGTTTGCGGGAAAGAGATCATTTGATTTGATGCATGACTAACTGTTCCAAGCACTTCATAATGATGGAGGTGAGTTTGACAGGACAGCAGTCATTAAAGCAGGAGGTTGATAACTTCTTCGGTACAGTAATGATGGTGGAGGCTTCAATGCATGTGGGAACGACAGCCTGACCCTAATAATGTGTTAAATATCAAATCAAATCAAATCACTTTTATTGTCACATCACATGTGCAGGTACACTGGTACAGTACATGAGAGTGAAATTCTTGTGTGCGAGCTTCACAAGCAACAGAGTTGTGCAAAAATACAATAACGTAAAACCAGCAAAATATAAGAATGACTAAATCTGAGAGTAATAAATATATGTACAATGTATAAGAGTATATGCATTACTGGATGTGTATACTAAATATGTTTTTCTACGTGTGTGTGTGTGTGTGTGTGAGTGTGTGTGTACATATTTTACAAATTAAATAGAGTAAACAATAAAATATACAAAATATACAGAG